TAATTTGACACATTAATTGATTCTCAAAGCAGAATCAAACTTTTGAGCACTGTAAAAATGTAAGCAGTTTTAATTAAGGTTATATTTCTTGCTAGCAGCAACTTGTGCTGAAGCATCCTTGGCTGCTTCCTCTGTCAGTCAGAGTGGGTTTTAGGCAGAGCCTCTGCTCATCCCTGTTTCGAAACAAGACCCAAAATACTGTTTCTCTGGCAGAAAAATGGGAAACTCCTTATTTTGAGCAACCTGGTCTAGTGGGAGATATCCATGCCCATGCATGAAACTAGATAATCTTGAAGGTTCCTCGCTTTCAACCCAAACCATAGGAGTCTATGATTCTGTGATTCTGCTAAAACAAATAATATAAATAAGTAGTTTATATCTACAGTACTTCAGACTAGAAGAAAATGAGAGATTTCAAGAAACAGAAGAAAGCTTTGATAGCTTCTTATACTTCAAACTGTTACTAGGTAGAGTCAAATCTGGCCACTATCTGTTTTGGGTTGGTGTTTTTTGATATTCTTCTTTCAACTAATATTTGACATTCTAATCAAAATAGCTGGAAAAACTCAGCTGAAATTTTAAGGCAGTTTTTCTGGTTAAGTTAGGTATAAACTGCTTGCATAGGTAGCTTGGCTGTCACTGCAGTTCATTATTGTTTAAGCAGTTTTGAAGTTGCTTTGAAGTTCATGGCATTTTGTTTTAACTTCAGAGTAACACACAAAAGATGTACTATAAACTGCCTGAGAAGTATCCATTGAAAATCACTGCTAAAATCTGTGTGCCCTATACCTGGAAAAAAAAAAACAAGCAAGCAAAGCAGGCTAAGATGAACCAGTATTATGGTGGCAGCTAAGCACCCAGCCACTCATTCTCCCCTGCCAGAGGAATGAGGGAGGGAATTAGAAGAGTAAAGATTTCTCAAAAAGTAGAGGTTTATGAGGAGATGGAAAATTCAAATAGTGTTATGTTGTGTTGTTTTTTTATTTTTAATTTAGATTTTGCATTTGGGTTTCATTAAAGAGCAAAATACCTTAACTGGGTGTGGTGGGTTGACCTTGGCTGGATGCCAGGTGCCCACCAAAGCCACGCTACCACCCTCCTCCTCGACTGGACTAGGGAGAGAAAAGTATAACAAAAGTCTTATGGATTAAGGACACAGAGATCACTCACCAGTTACTGTTGTGGGCAAAACAGACTCTACTTCGGGAAATCAGTTTAATTTATTACCAATCAAATCAAAGTAGAAAAATTAAAAATAAAAACTAAGTCCTAGTACACCCTCCCCCCAACCCTCCCTTCTTGTTCAACTTCACTCCTGGTTTTCTCTACCTCTTCCCCCCCCTACCCCCAAAAAAGCCCCAAGCAAACTACAGGGGGATGGGGCATGAGGGTATTGGTCAGTTCATGACACATTTTCTGCTGCTCCGTCCTTCTTAGGGGCCCGACTTCTCACCTTCTTCGCATGCTGCAGCATAGGTCCCTCCCATGGGAGACAGTCCTCCATGAACTTCTCCAATGTGAGTCCTTCCCACAGGCTGCAGTTCTTCATACACCAACATTTGTCCCTTCCATGGGGTGCAATCCTTCAGGAGCAAATTGCTGCAGTCAGTCCCCCATGGGGTCACAAGTCCTGCCAGCAAACCTGTTTCAGTGTGGGCTTCTCTCCATGTATATACAGGTCCTGCCAGGAGCCTGCTGCAGCACAGCCTTCCCGTGGGATCACAGCAGGCATCCACCTGCTCCAGCACTGAGTCCTCTGCAGGCTGCAGGTGGAGATCTGTTCCACTGTGGACCTCCACAGGCTGCAGGGGGATATCTGCTCCACTGTGGACCTCCACAGGCTGCAGGGGGGGACAGCCTGACTCACCGTGGGCTTCATCACAGGCTGCAAGGGAATCTGCTCCAGTGCCCAGAGCACCTTCTCACCTCCTTCTTCACTGACTTAAGAGTCAGAGTTGTTTCTCACATATTCCTGTCTCCTGCTGCAGGTGGTTGTGCAGGTTTTTTCCCACCTCCTGAAATACGCTACCCCAGAGGCGCTATCAGTGTTGCTGATGGGCTGGGCCTTGGCCAGCATCCTGAAGCCAGCTGGGCATCGGCTATATGGGACATGGGGGAAGTTTCTAGCAGCTTCTAACAGAAGCCACCCCTGTGCCCCCCTGTTGTCCCAAATCTGGGTTCTTCACCAGGCATGCAAGAACCAATTCACACATAGTCAAGGTGTTTGTTATTCCAGTTCTGTGCAGAAAGGGATGATAGGCAATAGTTCACAAATAGTTCTCCTTCCCATAACACAGGATTTCTTTTATAGACCAAAGAATCCAAAATCACCTTAAGTATAGTGATACCAAATGCACCCACACTCTGAGAGCAGGGGGCTTTAATGAGTAAGGGGCCCTGCTAGCCTAAGGGAGGGTATTTTAGCATGCTAATGAGGTAAGCTGACACGTTTAAGTAGTAAGTGATTTCTAGAATCAGCTCTGCTTACTGTAAATAGTGGTTAAAGCTAAAGACGTTTGCAGTTAGCAACTTCTATTCAACTCCTTCCTCTTCATGCCAAGACATGCCCAGTAAACACCCCAGGCTGACCTGCCCTTTTCAACATGGCCCCCCCACCCCTTCCAAAACCACGCAAACCCAGTACACTGGCTGAGGACAGAAACCCCAGTGATAACAGCCAGAAACATCTGAAGCAAAGCATGCATGTTGTCAAACGAATCTGACTGGAGAAATAATGCCTGTTTGCATTGACTTCTGGAAAAAACTCCCTTGGCATCACACCCTTGCCTACACAGGCCACGACAACATGTTTTCCAGACCTCTTGTCAGCTGAATGAGAAATTAAAGCCTTTTTTAAAGCCTTTTTTTTTATTATTATTATTATTTTAATAATAAGAGGGACGGGGGAAGGGGGC